AGCGAAGAGTGGCTCTTTGCTAACAATTATACCAACGTGAGAGATGAGGTGAACAACAATTATGCGCTTAGAGCTAAGATTCGAGAAGTGAGAGCAAAGATTGGGTATCGTAGTGAAGCGCGCGTTACTACCTTATAGATTTAGAAAGTTCAACTTAACTCCAAGTAACAATGGGACAGCAATGGGAATCAGTAGCTGGGCGCCCAGATAACCCTCCACCGAGAAAGATACAGTAAATTTGAAACTGCGACAATCCACTATTTAAAGGGAAGGTGTTGAACTTCTTTTACAGAACCTTTATCAATGATTGACTATAACAAGTAGAGGCATTACTGTGACTTGCTTGTTTATGAACCTTAAGAATTAAGAGATAGCACCAGAATGCCGTTTACCTAGGTACAAATGTTTAGAACTTTTTCTTACTTTTTTGAAATTTACGTAAATAGTCTCAACATCCGCTCTAAGTTATGGAGTTGATAAAAATTTTCCACTAAAAATACAAATATCGCTAAATGGCGGAAGGCCATACTTAGAAATCCACTGTTCTCAACAATGGGAATTTGTTGTACCAAGTAAACTTGCATGACCTCTGAAATCGAAGCAAGAGTAATAAATCTATTTTGGAAGAGAAGTACAACCATTCCAAAATCAAAAGAACCTCTTCGTTGTATACTAGACAGACTACATAAATATAGCTCAACTTCATACAGCCAGGACTAGACCTATTGCGTGAGAGAATTTATCACTTCAACGTTAGCCTAACAACTATACACTGGACCGAATCGAATAAATATTCGACCATTCGAACAAAACATTCGAATTCGAATTATTCGAAAATTCGAATACTCGAAAATTCTGATTTTCGAATAATCCAAAAATTCGAATACTCGAGACTTTCGTTTTTCGATTTATTCGAAAGTTTATATATTCAAAAAAATCCATTTTTTATCCGATACTCGAATACCCGAAAACCTCGATTTTCGAATTATTCGAGTATTCGAATATTCGGCGGACCTTTGACTATTTGAGTATTCGAAACAGTGTCAAAAGAATGTGAAATGGTGGCGTGAATTCGATTCGTTCTATCTGCAGTATACATTGGACCGAATCGAAAAAATATTCGACCATTTGAATAAAACATTCGAATTTGAATCATTCGAATCAAATATTCGAAATTTCTGATTTTCGAATAATTCGATAATTCGAAGATTCGGGAACTCTGTTTTTTCGAATTATTCAAAAAATTGAATATTATAAACTTATCTTTTTCGAATCGAAAACTCGAATATTCGAAAAAATATTATCTTCGAATTATTCGATTATTCGAAATTTTTCCTAAAATTCCAATGTATATAATAACTAAGATTCTTTAAAGCGGTCGCGCAAAAATATTGAAGTAGAATAATAAGGAAAGGTGCGAATATTGAGTATTTACATTAATTAAGTTGTTCGTAAAATTTTCGAAGAATAAATTACCCTTCAGATTACTGATAATCGGCAAGAACTGCTTTCGTTACAAAAAAAGTG